CTGCCCCATCTAAGCCTCCCTTCTCCTTGTCCCCAACTGCCCCCTCCTGAGATCCCCCCAACTTCCTCCCTAGGATCCCACCCCCTACCTGTCCCCTGACAAACTCCTGGGACTCCTATCCAACCGCTGCCTGTCCCCCGACTGCCCCTCCGAACCCTGACCCATCTAACCCCCCCTTCTTCCTGCTCCTGACTGCCCCCCCGAACCTCCGCCCCAACCAACCCCCCCGCTCCCTGTCCCTTGACTGCCCCCCCCGGAACTCTCTACCCCTGGGAGCGAGTTACCAGTGACCCAGGGCCGGGGCAGCAGGGGGGTGTAGGTGGGCGGCGAGGAGCCCAGGGCTGGGACCCGGGGGGCAGCCAAAATTTTTTTTGCTTGGGGCAGCAAAAATCCTAGAGCCGGCCCTGATTCCATTGTGACCTTCCAGGAAGAAAAAAATCTAAAAATGCTCTCTCTTTTCAGTGTTTATGCCTTGAACATAATAATTCCACTTGTGTAACTGGGTGCAGAGCTCAGCCCATCCTACCCAAACATGCTGCTACTTGAGAGAGCGCTGAATGAGATCTTGTCAAGCATTTTGGGCTAGATTCGCAAAAGGACTTAGGTACATAACTGCCACTTTAGGCACCTAAATACCAGAATCAGGCCCCACTGCGAGTCACAAAACCCCCATTCAGCTGCCACCAAACCCTGTAGGCACCTAAACACACTTAGTACCTACATTTTTGCAGGAAAAGTTGCCTATATTTCTGCCTGTGTGCATGTGCACTGCAGCCCCATGCCAGGCATCTGGACACATAACTCCCATTAATCTAGGAGAGACAGGCATTCCTCCACTTACCTCACCTTGGGCCTTGATCTGGTATGTGCGCTCAGAACTCATCTACTGGATTGGGCCTCTATAGGTGAGCTTACAGAAAACGGCCAGGTGTGGGAGAGAGGCCAACTTTTAGCCCAGTGGTTACATCCTCACCTGGAATGTAAGTGACTCTTCCCTTCAAGTCCTCCCTCCACCTGAGGAGGAGAAGGGATTTGAACTGGGTGTCTCCCACAGCCCAAGTGAGTACCCTAACCACTGGCTGAAAGTCCTCTGCCCCCACCGCCAAGCTTCTAGCTAAAATGGCATAGGTGCTTAATACCAAGAGAACCCTGTTTATAGGTGAAGAACAAAGGACACCTCTAATAACTCTAGGGGTGCAGAGAGAGACCCTCACAGAGAGAAAGCAGCAGCAGGCAGGCTTGGTCTTATGAAAGGAAGGTCTCAGTCTTCCTGGCTAAAAACTGTTGGAGGTGGATTAGACAAGAGGGCAGCATGTTAGTTAAGTTTAGGCTCCAGAGTGTGTGTGATGATTTTATTTTATATGTAACCCTTTGTTCCCAATATTTCTGTTTGCAATCATCTGATCCTCTGTTCTTTGTTCCATAAACTTGGACTTGCTTTTTCTATAAACAAATCTAAGTGCTGTGTGTCAAGCGGAGCTGTGCTTAACTAGCTGTGGTGTACAGTTCCTTTGGGAAGAGAGGAGCCAGAAATTCTGTGTGTGTCCAGTGGCTTAAGGGCTGGGCACTCCAGGGAGACACTTGGAGGTTGGAACATGCCATTTGCTTACCTGCAGAGGGACAGTGGCGCCTGTGGGGGAGTTGGGGGGGGGGAGGGAGAGCGCTTGTGTTGTTCATGGCCGGTTGAGTTGGAGAGCTGTCCCAGAGCATGCACAGACAACCCTTTCTCATGCTAAGGGCAGGTGTTAGCAAGGTGCCTTACAAGAGGAAGCGTCGCAGGGGGTTGTTTTTTGTTTCTGCGTTCCCTTATCTGAAATAAAAATCATTTTGACTGAGAAATGCAGGTTTTCTTCACATGTGGGAAACCATAACACGGAGCAGTCTGAACCCTGGGTTTGGAGATGGACTGGCTGACAGACTTTTACAGCTCTCAGTCCCCGGGCCCAAAGCCTTCACTTAGATTTTGCTCAGTTCATAACATGTCAGTGCTTCAAAAATTGCCATTGTCATCATACATCAGGAGCAGAGGAGGCTAGAATTTACGTGGGTGATGCAAAACAAGGAGCAAGATGCCTGCAGTTTTGGCCTTTCTAGTACAAACAGAAGGGATAGAAAAACCAGCTCAGATGCTGAAAATCTATTTAATATCTCATGCTCTCCCGAGTTCAGCTTTTTCTATAGTGCTCAGCATCATAATATCTAAAATCTGACATGAGTCAGACAGTTTTGGAGTGGTTTTTGTTAAGGATAAACTCAGTTGTACTCAAGGTCAGGCAATTTAACATACTATAAGTTATTTTGTCACCAACAGCTGACATATAGCATAGAATGTGATTAATTAATTTTACATACTTTTAAGGAGGATTCTTAGTATGTTCCTGACTTTGGTGTCACAATTCCCTCTTGTGATTTGGGTTACACATCAGAAAAACACTTGTGATTGGGACAAAGGTGTCTGACTGTGATATTTTCTGTATTTGGGATTAACTAAAAAGATGCAATTACGTGTTGATCTGATATAGAAAGTAATAGAAAAGAGTCTCCGGGTAAGTGAATTAGCAGGGTTTCTCCTTCAACTCACCTGTCAAACTGGTGCTCTTGGATTTCTGGTGTATAGCTCAAGTCAGGTCAGCTTTATTCTGGAAAAATTGCTTTAGTCAGTTCCAATGATTTTCCACCCATCCCTTTAGAGTAAATAACTGGTCGGGAAGGACTTTAGCCTCGATGGAGAAAAGCGACAGACAGTTTAAATAAAAGGGGTGAGGTGCACAGTTGTGCACCCAACTAGCATGCACAATTACAGTGCTTGCATTCTTTGTCCATGTTGTGTCCTGACACCCAGACTGCAAGTGCTTGGGGCAGGGAGCTGCTTCTTTGTGACTTGTCTGTATAGTGCCTAGCGCCGACGGGTGCTGATCCTTGACTGGGGCTCTTAGGAGCTACCACAATAAAAGTAAATATTATTACACTCAAACACCTCTTTTTCACCTCCCAGACACCTCTACAATCTCTCCCCTATTTATATCTCTGCTCTGATTCTCTCTACCTCCTCCTTGCCTTCAACCAGTCTCTCTACATTTATCTCCTCCTCACTCTCTCGGCTTTGCATCCCCGCACCTAAGCCACTATCTCACTTCCTGTGCAACCACCTCTTTAAACTCACTTCTTTCAGGAATCCTTCCTCTGGCCTCCCTCACCAAAAATCTCCCCCCATCCATCCTGTGCTGAATGTGACCTCCTTGCCTTGTCCATTGAGACCAATGTCTTTGGAGCAGGGAACGTCTCGCTCTCTTTGTAGAGAGCCGTGTAAATTTACAGCACTACTGAGCGGAAGGATGGTCCCAGTGGTTAGAGTGCAAATCTGGGATTTGGGAGGCCTCAGGTCACTTCTCCAACTTCCTGTTTGACCTTTGGCCAGTCACTGAGGCCCAGATTTTTAAAGATATTTAGGTGTTCCTGTGCTAAGCATTGCAGTCAATGGGATTTAGGCTCCCAAGTGCTTAATTCCCTTTTGAAAATGAGACCTAGATTCCTTCATCAGTTAGGTGCTGTCAGGCTGAGTGCAGCAACGGCTAAGTATCTTTAAAACCTGTGATCCTTAGCCCCTCTGTGCCTCAGTTCCTAATATGCACAATGGGAATAATAGCACTGCCCTGACTGACAGGGGTGGTGTGCGGATAAATACCTGAAGTGCTCAGATACTGATGTGATCGGGGCCAGATAAGCAGCTTAGAGTGAGAGTAATTCTCCATTGGAACAGTTTACCAAGGGTTGTGGTGGATTCTCCATCACTGACAATGTTTAAATCAAGACTGGATGTTTGTCTAAAAGATCTGCTCTAGGGGTTATTTTGGGGACGTTCTATGGCCTGTTTCAGACAGGACGTCAGACTAGATAATCACAATGGTCCCTTCTGGCCTTGGAATATATGAATCTAAGGAGCAACCCTGGTAACACATTCTCTGAGCCAAGAAATATGCTTTTATGCTGATTAAAATGTATGGAAATAGGGCAGAAATGAAATGGAAAAATCATTTTCCTTTCAATACCTGGCAGCACTATGCTTTTAATACTGGGTCTTTAAAGTCAATTAATGTTATTGTACTGAAAATAAACCAGATGTATTGGATGAGATTAGCGGACTTAATGAGCCAGTCAGAGACACAAAACCAGAGATTTATACAATTATGAATTATAAATGGTTTGTTATTTTTTACCAGTGGTATTTTCATTTAATTTCACTTGATTTATATTGTAGGTAATGATCTTAAAGTGCCTAGATAGCATGGCGATGGATACCTTCAGGAGAGACTTATTATTTAACAGAAAACCACAATTTGCAAAACCTAATTGGGGAGGAAACAAGCTTGGAAAAGAAATTAAGTTAATTAGGTTTTTTTTTAAATCAATTTTTAATACACCCAGTTACCAGTTTTTGTTTTAAAGTACAGCTTTCTAAAGACATGACGTTAACTTCACAGATGTAACAGCTGACGTTGAACAGAAGTAAAGGGAACAAAACTGAAAAATAACATGAACCAGCCACTTCAGCACATGCTTCAGTTGCTGACTCTAAGTACAGCAATACTGTAGTTTGGATCCCCACAGTTTAAAACAAAAGGCAGGCAAAAAGGAGTCGCAGACAAATTAAAATTTATTGAGACAGACAAAAATTTAACTATTTAGGACTACAATTAAGCATTTACAGTTAACAAAGGAGGTTAGCAAAATGTTCACATTCCAGTTAACTCCTTATGGAAAAAGCATTCAGAATTTATTATGCTAATCTAATTTACTATGATAGCCTACATTCCATCTACAGTAGGGACATCAAACTTAAACACGTAATATTTGGATCTCTCCTTACAACACATCACATTTAACAGTAACGGATATCAGCAGCATTGAGAAAAGTATAAAAAGACCAAAACCCACCTACTGTAGAAAGGGCTTTTTCATGTATAGTACCTGTACAAAGCAGTCTATGTATTGAAGAAACAAGAATGGCATACAGAACAGACTGCAATGAAAGCCAAAAAGTGTAACAAGCTAAGCATGAGAGATCTGGTGGTCTGTAGCAAATGATGACCTTAGATCTTATGTCATTTGCTGCCTGGGTGGGAAAATTCTGCAAAAAACATGCAAATATTAAAATATTCCTATGCCAGAAAAGTACACTGTGACTCTAGAGTAGGCTGGATAGGCAAAGAGAAGCTTTCACTAACAAACTGTGTTGTTTTCAATATAAACTTTACATTGGAAATATAAACTGTAGAATAAATATTAAATAAACACAGAAAATGGGTTAAAACAATAGCCAAAATATTTCGATGCACTCATAGTGTTCATGAAGATGCCAACAACAAAAATCGTGTCGGAAACTGAACTCAAGGGATATTTTGAGTTAACAATACTAGTGAAAAGGACACTTGGAAACATAAAGCAATACTTCATGATGTTTCATAATCTTTCATCTGTAAAGGAAATGTGATAAAATTAGTCTCCATCTTTAAATAATGGAGCTCCTCTGTTTCCATCTTTCACAATGAGAAAACATTTGGAAGCTCAACAATTTGAGGCAAGTGGAATATTTGACTTTGTAACAAAAATGGGAATTAAATCTAGCCAGAAGCAAGTGAAATGCTCCCTACAAACCTCCTGATTGTCATGCAGGAGAAGCCTGAGAAAGGGGCTGTTTAATTCTGTTGCAGTTTGCAACGGCCACTGGCTCTGGATACAGTGCCCTGAATGCCTCATTGCTTTACTACTTCAATAAACTGGGATATCTTCTTAAAGCATCTTCTACAATCGGTGGAGAAAAAAATCAATAGAAAGAACTCTGCTTTGTCATTCCACTGTTAATGGCATGTACTTTCACTGCTGTCTTAATCTAACAGCAGCAGTAATAAGATAACAAAAAGTTAAAAATCAGGAGTTACTATACTCGGTGGGAAACTGTGATTGGCAAAATTATATTATTCTCCTGAGCAAGTTGATTTGCCAGGTGGCAGCTGGTGGAAACTGTCGTCGCTCCATTGACTTCAGTGGAGCTTTACATCAGCTGGGGATCTGCCCCCGGATCCAGACATATTCTCAGCTGCTTTTCTCAAAGCATGCGGCTCCGCCTTAAACAATTCTTACCAAAATAGGGGGCATTATTCTTTTATACAATTTGTATAGTATTTTACGTGCTACGTTGTATTTCTACTCTACTACACTAGATAATGACGTTACTCTTCTCAAATTACAACCTCCATTCAGGAAAGCAGGTAAGCATGTGTTTAAAGTTATGCTTTCCTGAACCAGGGCCTGTGAGCTGAACTGGGGCAAAGAGCTTCGCACAAGCCCTCCAGACCAAGTTGAGTGTCACCCAGGGAACTACAGCAGAAGTTGTTCAAGGCCGGATTCTGCCTTCAGATGTACACGCAACACCCCATTGACTCTGATGGGACTTGTGCAGGTACATCCGAACACAGGTCTTGGACTGTAATGCATTCGCTTTTATGTTGATTACTTCCTATTTGCTGAAAATAAATGCAGCCAGTCTCACCTGGAAGAGTCAGGTGAGAAGAGGCTATGGGATGAGGCCCGAGCACTAGAGAGAATGAGGATGAAGACCTGCTGGCATTGGAGTGGCCAGAGTGCCTGTTCAATTAAGCTGTAAGACTGATTGCATTTATTTAAGGCAATATTTAAACCATGTAGGGAATGAAAGAGGATCCTACAGGATCTGTATGTGTGTGGATGCAATAACCTGACGCCCTGTGCAAATGGAGCAGAGAGGCTGCAGCCACTGCTCGGATCTTCCCTACCCACCTGTGCTTCTCCTGAACAGTACCTGATTATACAGGCTGTAAGGGGAGCAGAAGATTTGACTCTCCAGGCTTTATGTGGTGCATAGCACGGTGTAGGAGCCATCTGCCCTGGGATGAGTTTAGCACTAGCAGAATGTTGGGATGGTGTCAGCTTTCGTGTGATAGTTCTTAATGATTGTGGATACCCCCTTGATTTCATGGCACAGTGGGGTGCCCCTTCTGCTTTGATGGTGAGGCCTGGTGTCAGTGAAATGGCAAGACCATAAGCTTGGGAAAGGCCGTGGGCAAAACCAGAGATTTCATCTGATTAAAATCAGTCCCAGAATGAAGCCAGCCCTGATGTGCGAGATGCAAGATATTGATGGTGCTCAAGGGTCACTACAAGGAACAATGATGTCGAACTACAAGCTGTGTTTGTTCCTTTTGCAAATCGCCATCATTTTTCTCCAAGGCAAGGAGAAAAGAATTCTTTTCAAGGTCTGTAATTTAGAAAAAGTGATTTTCAAGAGATGGAAGCAAAATAAAAGGAGTCAAAGCCCAGCTTCCCGAGGTTGTTCCAAATCACTAGTTTGGTCTGGAACACACTGGGAATGCTGCTGATTTCACAACAGTTTTATACCATCTAACCCCAGTAAAATCAATGGTCTGGCTGCTGATTCACACCAGTATAAATGAGGTCAGGACCAGGCCCATTTTGTTGCTGTTCTTGTCGCTCATTTTACAGCAGAGCAGAATGGGCTTCCCATCTTTGTGTCTCTTAGGCTCATCTGGTAGCGATTTATAAACATTAAAGTCAAATAAAGAAGTCAACTCACCAGTAACACAGACAGGACAGAATCATCTGGATCATGCAAAATAGTGGCTGCATTTATTATTTCTTGCCACATACACAACCCCCTAAAACAACCCTCCCCACCCCCAATTTTAGCATAACGAGAACTTCATTGCAGGATTCTCCTGCGGCCTGAGAGCGCATCTGGAGGCCATGTCATGCTGTCTGCTTAGGGCTAAACAGTACTCTCCTCCTGCATGGGCACCAAAGGTATGTCTACACTGCATTGTAAACCTGAATCTGTGGGAACCAGGCTTGTGTATTTCCAAACCCATGCTTGAGCATTCACACTGCATTGTACAACTGGGCTTACAATTGCTGGACCCAGGTCTCATAGCTGTGCTAATGCACCCATACTGCATGTCTGTGGCTTGAGCTGCATCCACACTGCAAAATGACAGGGGTTGGACTGAGGCACAGTCCCTAGCAGGGTCCTAGGACCTGGTCCTGAGTGTTTGCTGGCCTGAGTCAGATTCATTGATGTATGGACAGACAGGGCACTTGGGCTCAAACCTGAGTCACGCCCTGTGCATAGAGTGCAGTGTAGACACACCCCAAGAGTTGTGAGTTCAATACTTGAGGAGGCTATTTAGGGATCTGGGGCAAAATCAGCACTTGGTCCTGCTAGTGAAGGCAGGGGGCTGGACTCAATGACCTTTCAAGGTCCCTTCTAGTTCTAGGAGATGGGATATCTCCATTAATTAATTTATTTATTTTTATGTGTAGTGCCTCTGAAGGCACAGTGCTTTCTGGGGGCTGCTCCGGGGCCACGGAGGCTACGTGCTGCTCCATACTCAGGGCTGGTAAAAGCTCCATCGTGCCCTAAACGGGGAATCAGAATGGACTGTAGGGTTTCCACCAATTGCCTTAGCTGCCAACCGCTTTCCCGCAAAAAAACCAAAGAGCAAACCAAATCCCAGTGGATATACTGTCTGCTTCCTTTTCTATTAACACCAATCATCCAGTCCAGCTCTTCAACAACGTTCAGGTCATGACTCCAGACAAACAGAGAATAAAAGAGCTGGAAACAACTAAGTCCCTATAACAAGCTGCGTTTGAAACAGTGAAATATAAGCTCATTTGATGTTCACAATTCCCGTTGTCAAGGGGCTTTCCCCATTTTGTTGCATTGTTGTACCAGTGAATTCCATGGATGTGTGTGAATGAAGCCTTTCCTTTTACGTTCAAATCACCTGCACACATTGACACGGCCTAGATAAGCAGAAACAAATTATTTCTCCCTCTCAGACAAGTTCTGTTCGTAATGAGCAAATTTTCTTTCTTCAAAAGAAATTGCAGGCAAAGGTTTTGAAACAAGACTTCAAAAATAAAACCAACTTTTGCAGTTTAGAATGTCAACTACAGGAGCTAGTGTGTATTTCAGCTGTGTGTGTGTGTGTGTTTGTGCACACACGAATTCTAGCCAAAGATTCAAGTTACATTGCTAAAATGTTTTAAGTCTTAGCTACTAGCAGATAGGTACAGTGATGGTGCCCGGAAAACAGTACAAGGCATAGAGAGTCCATTTGTTGGGCTTGCATAATAAGATCATACATACAGTATGATTCTCTAGTATGAAACCTTTGGGTTGGAGCCTGCAAATCCCTAAACTTATGTGGGCTGAAGAATTTGCAGGATCAGGCCTTTATTTGGAAACATTTAAAGCAATGCTTTCCCCCTCAGTCACTAAAGACCCACAGGATAATAGACAATACAAACACCAAGAGTATATCTGGAAGGCACACCCTGAGAAGGATTCAGAGTAGAAGCCGTGTTAGTCTGTATCTGCAAAAAGAACAGGAGAACTTGTGGCACCTTAGAGACTAACACATTTATTTGAGCATAAGCTTTCGTGGGCTATAGATGTATGCATCTGATGAAGTGGGCTGTAGCCCACGAAAGCTTATGTTCAAATAAATGTGTTAGTCTCTAAGGTGCCACAAGGACTCCTGTTCTTTTTCCTGAGAAGGATGTCTGACTTGGGCTCATGTGTCACAAGAACAGTAAATTCAGACTGCTGGCCCGAGGACATGAAACCCAAAGGAAATGGGTGAAACATCCTGTTTTTGGAATGGAATTTGGCATTTATATTGGTAGATTTCATTTTGCAAACTTTACCTTGTAATGACATGATTCACCCCCCAAAATGAATCATGGAACATGCAAGATAGATAAGCAGGCAAAGTACTACTTATATTGACTAATGGTCTGAGGGTAAACTGCACCCCTCAGCTGCTTTTGAAAATGCAAGTCAATTCACATAAGGAAGTAGTGTCTTTAACAGAACTATAAAGGGTTTCTTTGAAATGCCTATAGGCCAAATTCATTTCTGGTATAACTCCATTAACTTAAATGGAATTACTCCTGTCACCTCATGGTGCATTTGACCCTAAAAGATTTTGGAATTAAAGGTGTATTATGGGTCACTTTTGTCCTCTTAAACACAAAAATGAATTGCTAACAAACGTATTCTGTCCCATGACTCCTCATTGTTATCGTGTTTTCTGATAATCTGGATAAAATAACAAAAGGGATAAAAGCCATGATATGGTACATTCATTTTACCCATGACTTTCAACGGGGAAGGGAAGTAAATAATTTAGCTTCAGAATGCTGTGATACAGCTGTGGAGATATGAATAAATGGGAACAGCTTAAAGAATCAGAGGATTCAATTTTAATAATATTCTTCTATTTTATAGGTGTGTATTAGGAGTGCACGATATTTCATATTAAGCAGAAAAGATGTTAGTTGGAAACATGACTATCTAAGGTTGTTTTTTATACAGACTAAATAAATATTAACAATTTAAAATAAAGAAGAGACAGCTTATTACTTTTGATGGTGAGTATCTTTGACAGCTTCCTAGCTTCCAAATGAGGAGTTACTTAGGGTAAATGAAGAACAGGGGATTTCCAGCGGATCCAACATTGGCGTGTGTTACTTCAGAAACAGAGGCAGCTTGCATGACATTGCAAACTCTTAGTGCAAACTAATTAAAACAGAAACCCAAGATTTGTTAGTTGGAAAATGGTTACAATGATCTAGATTTACAAAACATTCCAACATTCTGGAAGGTGGTTAAATTATGTTCCCCTGCTACGAGGCTCAAAGTCGGTGGTAGCTGCGGACGCTCAGCATCTCTCAGGATCGAGATCATATTGTTTACTATGAAAACGAGGTGACAATGACCTGATCCTGCACATTTACAGCCAACGGGAGTTTTGACATTGACTTCAATCAGGGCAGAACTTAGCCTGTAGTAATCATTCTTAGAGCAAGTGAGAAAAATACTGATGGATTTCTTCCTGACTTAAAACCATCAATATTAGTGAGCCAGAAGTTATTATACACAGATGACTTGCTCTTTAGTGACAAGTGCCAGACACGGGACAGAAACTGAGGCACCTGCTTTTCTATATTACCTACGGCATAAAAGAAAAGCAATTACTTATAGCATGGTCAGAAAATTCAGTTAACAGCTGATGACAAAACTTCTCCAATGTTGATAACATAAAATGGGCTTTTAATTCTTGCACTGGTTTGTTTTTTCTCTCTTCTTTTTTAATCCCATAAACTATATTTCACAAGCTGTGCAGGCGGGGAGTAAGCTATGAAACTTTGCTTAAACAAAACTAACACAACTCATAGCCCCGTTGATAGAGGAAAAAAAATTAACTGTATTCAAACCAGTAGCTAGTTGGAAAAAAGCCGTCTTGAAAATGATATATACTGTAAAAATTAAACAAAGAGGAGAGATATTTTGTGCCTGATGTTCTTAGATACAATTGCAGAGATATGAAGTGACTTGCAATATTGTGCAAAACATGAGTCCTCAGAACGGTGACAACTACCATATATAACCAATTTCATCATCCTTATCATCATCTTCATCTTCATCATCCTCATTAGCCGCTCTTACATGAATCTTCATTTTCCCTTCTTTGTCCTTTTTCGCTGCTTCACGGTCCTGTTCCAAATCATCCAGTAATACAACAGATCCACCACTGCCAAAATCCCCCGAGGTTTCTTGCTCTTCTTCTAAAATAGGTAAGAGTTAAAGGTCATTCTCTTACCCAACAACCCAAAAATCTCTTTAGTCAATGCTTGTTAATGTTCTCACTATGTAAGCTACTTTATTTTATTTTTTTTGCCATAAATTGATTTTTTAAAGAGGCAATTTAGCAAAGGACAGCACAGCAGGTCCTTAAAAATGTACATACATCTGTTGTGCCCATGACCACAAATTTGAGAGGAAGTAATATTCCAGTGGGATCTAGAATAAGATACAAAGGCCTTGCATCTCTAGATTTCTAATTTAAATCCATCCAGGCTCAATGGTGACTGAAAATCATTACCATCTGATGATTGTTTGGTGGTCTACATGAAATGAGTTGGTGGTCTCGGATCAATTCCTGAAAGTCAAATGTCTACATTAGAACTGGATGGAAAACAATTTCCCCAACCCATGAAAATTGTCAAGATTTCAAGGAAAAAAACAAAAACCAACGCAACCCGTTTGTCCTGATTCACGACGAAATATCAAAACCTTGAAAATTTTCACAAACTGAAAATTCCCCCCAACATTTGGGTTGGTTCAGTTGAAGCATTCTGTTTCAACACTTTCAAAACACTATGTTTCAATTTTGACCAATAAACCTATTTTTTTAAATCCCAATTAGCTTTTTGTTTAAAAACAAAAAGTTGCTTTTAATCAGAAAACCAGAATTTTTCATTTAGAAAATTCTGAGGCAGAACATTGACAATTGCAATACTTCTTTAACCCCCCCCCCCCAAACACGAATCAAGAAAGTCAGCAAAACTGACCCTTTCCTGCCAAAAGTTTTGGTGTCGACGAATCAGCAATTTTCCATTAAAAATGTCTTGTCAAAAACGGCCAGTCAGCTCTAGTCGACCTCAGAAAATCCCCGTCACAATCAACACTAACTGCTTCCTTGGTGGCTAATCTCAGCAGAGTACCAAAGAACTGAATGTGCACGAACACTGAAACACCCTGTCAGTGCGACTGATTCACATAGGCACCTTGGTGGGGATGGGGCTGCGCTATTGCTGTCTGTATGTGGGTTGGGATCGGGCCACTAGGGAGCTGGGATATTGATCCACTTTCTCATGCACACATATGCTACCTGACTATTTTGGATGCATATCTCAGGGCCGGCCCGGGGG